ATGCGCATAGTAAAAAGGTGGCACAGCCCGCCTTCGTAAATTGCTTTGATCTCCTGGCACCATGCGCGCAGGGAAGGGCAGGGCGATGGGTGCCAGCAGGGATCTGGCCGGCACCACGCGCCTGCGCTTGGCCCTGAGGGCTGGTTGCCAAATTATGCTGGGTTGACAACGGCAAACATGGCCGCGGTGGGGGCCACAAGCGCCCAGGCAACGAGGAGCGGAGCGGGAACACACCGGCATGGCCCATCAGGTGCAGCGCCCCATAGCCAAGACGTATGCATCTCGCGCAGCACGGCCCACGCACCAATCAGAAAATCCTAACACGTAGATGGAAGGGAAGCCCAATCCGATCCAGTAAACAGCAACACAACAATGGCAGGTTGCTGTATGACGGCAGGCGTGTTGGCCAGCCAGGGCGGTGTGTAACTGCTTCCCAGAGCTTTGGCCTGTGGCCAGCGCCAGCACAGCGAATGCGGAGGAAACACTCTCGGGGCAACTGCATGCGGCTAAACCAAGTCGTCGGCCGCGACACAGTGCGGATGACGGGGGCAGGGGGGAGACTCGCGCCTTCAAAGGAGAGTGTCCAGAGGACACAGCTGGCGGGGTGAGGGACCAACGGCTTGGCCGGCCGCAGAGCGTTCAATGCAGCAGCAGCACGCTCGATGCAATGATGTAAGCAAAGCGACGGCCAGTAGCCGCCACACAATCGACCTCTCAACCGCTCCTGCAGCTGCTGTGCCACAAGGTTACGAGGCGATAATGCTGGGGCCTTTGATTGCCGCCAGCCTAGGGGACGCGTCACAGGGGTTGGAATGAGCCATGCGGAAATGGGGTCGCGCACGGTTATGAGCCGGTCGGCCCAAGCCTGCACCCCATAGGTGCCCCCTCAAGTCACTCTCGCACACTACTTCCCGTAGCGGTTGGCAGAAACTTGTCTGCTGCGGCCCAAGGTCCAGGAGCACGCAAAGCAGCACTCGGAAGCGGGTGGAGGTTGGGCCCAAAGTGGGGGCTCGGAGGCGTGTTGACAGCGGTTGCCCAGACTGGTGCATGGGGGTGACGGCTTTCCTGTGTCGCACGGGTCCTTTCCCGGTGGCGTGTTGCAATGTTCAAAGGCAAGTATGCCTGAGTGTGTGGTTGGGGGGTGGGTGCACTCGCGTGCGGTCTTGCATATGCAAAGTTGCTCCGAATTCCCTCATGTGTGCGTCAAACAAGCGCACAACCGCGGCTCGCAGGACGCAGTGAAGGATGTGCCCCCGCCGACCCAGACAAGGGGTGGCAGAGTGGCCAGGGGGGGGGCAGGGCAGTCAGTGCCCACGCGCCCTCCCACACGCATGTGGATGAGGTTGGATCAACTTCGTTGGATCAACGCAAATCAAACGTCTCTCCTAATTCACTGCTAAATCGACTTTGGCAAACCCCTCGAGGAAAATAGAAAGTGTCGCCCCCTGCTGCTTCACGCTTGCTGCTGCCAGCCGGGCCAGGGCAAGAAGGCCGCCCAGCAGGCGCAGCACGTGCGTGCACACATTTGATGATGCATGTGCACACGTCTTGCCAGGGGGCCACGTTCGCGCTGACTGCGTCGGCAGCGAGTTGTCCAGCATCCAAGTCTGCCGCGCGCTTGTGAGCGCAAGGGCGGGCTTATTTGCGGATCATGGGAGCGGTGCTCGCGTCTCCCTCGGGGCGACACGCTCGATGGCTCAGAAAAATGACAATCAAAGCATTGGTGCAGGATGGAGTTGACGAGCCCCCCGAACAGCGTTGCCAGACGTTCGTTCGTCGGGCATCTTTGCGGGCCAGGGGCGGCGCTCTGGGTAGAGGAATCGCCAGCCTGTGCCGCAGGGGCACCGGGCCACCCGTGCAAGGTGTGTTGTTGTGGTGGTATGGTCTGTTCATGGGTCTCACGGCTAGGGTTTTTGTCAACGTGCGGCACACCCACAAGAAAACAGGAGCGCTGTCAAGGGGCCCATATGGGCACTGTGCTGTAGACGACAACGCCCTGCCAAGCGCAAACGCAGGCAAGGCCACACGCGCTCCCGCCTTGGGGACAGCCGGGCGTGGCCCCGTCGCAACGCGAGGCGTGGGTGACAGGGATAAGACAAGTGACAAGAAGTGGGCGGCTGTGCAGCCGTATCACGAGTCACATGACAGGCAATCGGGTTTGCTGCTTGTGGGGGACTTGGCAAGCCGTGGTGAGCATGGCTGTCCGCAGTGTGTCAGGCTGCCCAGCCAACGCGCGCCGCCGCATTCAGGGGCGGCACGGCGCCGCCAATCATCGGCACAAACGCGCGCGGAGGCAGCCCAGGTCCGAACGCGCCCGCACCGAGCGGGCCGTGCTGGGCAGACGCGCTCTCGGGGCGCGTTGAGAAGCCCGGCAGTGGTGCGCAATCAACGCGCGGCGACGGCGGCGGCGATGCGCAGGCCGTATAGATGGTGGCGCCGACGGCAGTGTCCACGCCCGTGGCGTCGCCCTTGAGGCAGCGGCTGGCGGCCGGCGGGGCGTTCAGGCGCTTGGCGCGGGCGGCGGCCTGCTCGGCGGCGTGGCGCTGCGGGAGTGGTGGGAACGGGATGTGACATGGTGTCGAAGCATGTCGGTGGGTAAAGGGTCCTGTGCGACAGGCGCAGCATGCACGCTCCTTGGGGCTGCATTGCAGCTGCGCCTGCGGAACCCCTGCGCGCGGGGCCCGGTTTTGCAGACCCGACGTGGAAGTCCACCCCACCCCAGGGCCCCCAGGGGCCCCACACAGCAGAGGTCCCTGCCCCACCTGAAGCGTCTCTCCCCACTGGCTACGGCCCTCCATGGCACCTGCCCGCGCCGAGGATGCCGCCAGGGGTGTAACAGGCGGCATGCGCTGCTCTCCGGACTGCGCTGCGCACACCGCTGCGGCGGTACCGGTCGCGGCCAGGCCGTCGGCGGTGCGCTTGCGGCAGCATATGCCGCCACTGGTGCCAGTGATGCACTCGCGGCCCATCAGTGGCATCTTCAGCACGCTGCCATTGACACGGCGCACAAAGCGCTCTGGGCCCTGGGCAGATACGCTCAGGGCACCCAGGTTGGTCCGCGGCACGCCGAGCTGCGCAAAAGATGCACCGACGACCTGATCCGCTGCCCAGATGGCCTGACAAGAAGGCGTGGCTGGCCCCACGTCAAAGCAGGGCGAATCGAGGTCCTGAGGGCCCAGGTCGTCGGCGCCGCCACCGAACAGTAACGAGTCCAGAGACAGGACGGCCCCGGAGCTGCAGTTGCTGCCACTTTCGATGATGGCATTGTCATCCACTTTAGCCAAGCCGCAGGCAGCATATGCCGCGCGGGAGAGAGTCATCTGGACAGGGCGGGCTTTTTGATCTGCGTGAGGCGTGCACAAGGGGAGTGGCAATCAGTGATGATGATGTATTTTCGGCTCATACCTACAAGAGAACCACGCTACGCCGCGCGGACTGCAGGATCGCGGGACTGCACCGTTTGGCTAGCAAGGCAAGCTGAGAGTTAAACAACGATCAGCTGAGACAATAGGGACGGTATGGCCCATCATACAGGTGTGTTGGACGGCCTGCTGGGCGGCCGCGCGGGGTGGCCCGTTTGGGCCACTGCGCGCGGGTCCTCTCTCACCTTGTATGACCTCGCGAAGGACACGCAGGGCAGCGGAATATTGCAGGTAATTCTATTCAGCTCTTAGCTAGACACGGACTGGCGGTGTGGGTGACGATTCTTGTCGAAGGCCGCTGCGATTGGGTGGTTTATCCTCGGTAAGCTGCGGGAATCTGTTTGTTAGCATCAAAACGATGATCAAGACTCCATGGACACGGTGTGAAGGGACGCCGCTTTTGGTCGGTGATAGCGAACCCCCCAGCTTCCGCGTGACGCATGGTTGGCAACAGCGGCAAGGCGGATGATGCAGCACTCCGGTGAAAGGGTGTCCTTGGCACATAAATGCCTTTGATCTAAACCCTTCTGCGACTCATCCGCCCTTCATGGGACGCGTCTCAAGATGCCCCTCGCTTCCTCACACTCCATGCCGTCACGCACGCACACTCAACCTCCCCTGCCCGCGATACATCCAAACATGTGCCATGCCCCCGCACTGGCATCTAAAACACCTTTGTTGCCGCACAAAAATTTGTGTGTTGTGAGTCGCCTTATTGTGGTCTTACATGCGCCATCGGAAGGGCCATCCAGCAGCAGCAGACCAGAGGCACGGCCACTGCACCGACACTTTCAGCCCCCCAGAACATATCTTACATCTGACATGCTGTGCCTTGAAGCCGCCGCTGCCAAAGGCGCTGCCCGCCATACTTCCTGTGTCACACACGGTGTGTGCGTACCTCACCCCCCGGGCGCGCGCTGTGCAGCAGCGCGCTGGGCCATTGAGGGCCGTTCGACATGTCGCAGTCGCAGGCCCCCACCGGCCCCCGCCACAACATCCTGCAGCAGCTGGGATCTCCCCTTGATCAAACTCGCCGCAACGCGCCCCTCCTGCTGCTGCTGCTGCTGCTGCTGCTGCTGCTGCTGCTGCTGCTGCTGCTGCTGCTGCTGCTGCTGCTGCTGCTGCTGCTGCTGCTGCTGCTGCTGCTGCGCTTGATCCCGACCACCACCGCCGCCGCGGCCACCATACCCAGATGCGGGGCGCGGAGGTGGCGGCGCAGGCGGTGGTGGCGCCGTGTGAGGCACGTTCCTGCGCTCCGCAACCCTGACAGAGCTCAGTCGTGCAGGAGATGGCGCGGGAAGGGGCGGCATGTGGTGCTCAACAGGAGGCGCGGCGGCCTCCTGGCCATCCTCCTCTGCCTCGTCGAAACTATGGATTCCGCCTCCGACAGGGGGGTTGCCACCAACGGCTGCCAGGCGCTCCTGCAACTCCAGGACAGAGCCCCTCAGCTGCTCTACAGCCGCTAGGATCGACCCACGAGGGGGTCGGCCCTGTGGCACCTCCTCATTGAGCTGCACTGACTCAGGGCCTGCCTCGCTGCCCGCATCACTTGATGACCCGCCGCTAGCCCCCGTCGCCCAGTGATTCGGCCGCGGCGGCAGGTTTGCCCCGCCCTCTGTAGCTTCGGGATCATGGTGTGCTGCATCTGTCTCGTCCTCATCCTGCTGCTGCTGCTGCTGCTGCTGCTGCTGCTGCTGCTGCTGCTGCTGCTGCTGCTGCTGCTGCTGCTGCTGCCAGCGCTCAAGGAAATCTCGCCGTAAATCGCTGGAGACACCGTCGTACTCCGAGAGCGTGTTGGCTCCGCTGGCCACCAAGATGCTGCTTTTGCCAAAGGTTTCCCCGGGGACGGCGCCACCCGTGCGGCTACCATTGTTCTGGCTGGCCGCTAGGAGAGGAGGCAGCGGCTGTGCAGCAGCGCGTGAAAAGCGGAGGGCCGGAGTCATGCCACTGCTGCTGGCGCTGCGTGAGATGTGAAAAGGTGCCACTCGGCTGCTGCCACCTGTGTTGCTGTGAGTCTGAACGCGCGTGCACTGCCCGTCACCGCTGTCGGCTTCTGCCTGCCCGCGGGCTGCGTGTGAGGCGGCGTGCCTCTGCTGCTGCAAGCTGCGCACCATGCTCTGGACAGTACGACCGCGCCCTGCAAGCGCACTCGGGCGGCCATCGGCGTTGTGGCGCTGCTCCTGCGTAGAGGGTGGTCCTTGCTTTGTTGCCACGACCTCTGACGGCATTCGCTGCTGCTCCTGCTGCTGCTGCTGCTGCTGCTGCTGTTGTTGGAGCATGAGCCCCACAAGCATGTCGATCTGCTTTTGCTGCGCACGCAGCTGCCCTGGTAGAGAGGACAGGGTCGACAGCACACTGCCCTGCTGCTCCGCCGGCTGGTTGCCCATTGGCAGGCGCCGCCTGCTCTGGCCGCTTTTCAATTGCCAGCCGCCACTCTGCGCTCCATGTCCGACCAAGCCGCCGCCACCAACCCCTCGCGAGCCGGCCGCCCCCCCACCGCTTGACAGGCCGCCACCCCAGCGGCCCATCCCCGCCGCCGTTGCCGCGCCGTTCGTCAACCCGTCGCCGCCGCTCTCGTCCTCTCCGCCAAAATCAGACAGGAACCCGCTGCTGCTGTCGTCGCCATGGCTGCGCTGACCTGGGCCCCCAAAATCCAGGCGGCTGCTGTCGCCCCGCTTGTAGCGGCCCGCGGTGATGGCCCAGCCGGTGGTGGCCACGTCGTCCTCCTCAAATGTGGTGATCAGCGACAACGAGTCAACGTCCACCCCCGCCAAGCCGTAACCACCCACACCTACATCGCCGCCGTTGCTGTCGCCACTGCGCGGCGCCGCGCGCCCGCCAAACCCCGACGGCTGCCGGTCGCCGTCCCGGCTCTGGCGGTGGGCGGCGAGCGCGCGGCGGCTGGCTTCCCGCTGCTGCAGCATGCGGCGCTTGGCCGAGGCGGTCTCCGCTGGGCGTGTCCCAGCGCCGCTGCTGAATTGCTGTCGCGGTGCAGCCAGGCCGCCCCCATCAGCTGGATCACGCACGCTGTCAGCGGCAGTGACGCTCTGGCGAACGCTGTGGTGCTGCGCGCTGCCGCCGTCACCCGAGCTGGCTTGAGGGCCTGCGGGGGAAGTCGCACGCGCTGCGCCAGCGTCCCCGGCCGAGGACGCATGAGCAAAGCCGCCGCCCGCCCCTGAAAGCGACGCCACCAGCAGCGTGGGACGCGTGCGCTCTGAATTGCAGCTGTCGCCACCGGTGGTGCGTCGCGGGAGGCCGACCACGCTGGCTGCAGGCACGGGGCGCATGTTGAGAGGCCGTGGGTCCATACTCGATTCACTGCCTTTTGTATCGCGTTGTTTGGGGCCCGGCCCCGCCGCGCTGCCGCCTGTCACAGGTGCCCCTGCCATCATCGAGCGCCTCAACAGTTGGGCGCCTTGTGCGACAGAACCGCTGCGCGCCGCCCACTGCCGCGTGCTGCGTGTTGCACGAGTGCTGTCAGAAGCCGCAACTGAGGCCTCGTCGTCGGTGCTGGCGCCGGCAGCGCCGCTGCCGCTGGCAGGGTTGGCCCCCTGACCGCTGGTCCTGCTGTGCATGCCGCTCGCTCTGGCCGCGCTGGCGTCGTCGTCTGACAGGGCGCTCACACTCCAGCAGCATGACCTGCAAGGGAGGGCAGCGCATGTGGCATGGGCACTTGGCCACCGAAGGGATCAGGGCGCCAACTTGGCAACTCAGGCAACGCGGACACCAGCCATGCGCTTTGGATACCGAGGGTTTGCTGCATGCAGCGTGACGCGACAGGAGCCGCTTACCAGCATTTCTTACGGGGCTCCCTGGCCATGACCTTCAACCGCTGCAGCCGCCGCTCTCCGCCCGCATTGCCCAGCCGGCGCCGCGAGTGCTCTTTGTGCTCAACATCGCGCGAGCCGCCGCCACCGCTGGTGCTCGCACGTCCATCTGCAGTGCCAGGGCGTGCCCCCTGGACGGCCACAGCGGCCGCCTGGACCCCTGCCATGGACAACCGCTGCAGCCGCCCCGTTGCGGCCGCCAGGTCAGCAGCTGCAGCAGGCCCTGACGCAAACGCGTTAGCCCCAAGCTGCATGGAGAGGCGCGGCACAGACCCGGTGGCCGGCAGCAGCGCTTGAGGCAGCGACACGCGCGCCCCGGCGCCCCCAGGGGCCTGCGGGTGCTGCAGCTGGTGCTGCCATTCCTGCCATGTGGCGGCCAGCTCGTGCACTCTGCCGCCTGGTTGGGGCCCCTGTGAGGCCGACCCTCCATCCAAAAGGCCATCGCCGCCATCCCCTGCCTCAGGCGAGCCCCAGGCGGTGTCCTCAGCCTGCCCCTCTTCGCCAGCTGCCCCTTGCTGCAGCGATGCCACGAGCAGGCCGCGCGGCACGGCCGCCCCCTGCAGCGCCGCAAGCCAAAGCTTCTGGAGGTGAGCACACAGAGCGTGGCAGGGAGGGGGGGGGGCGCGGGTGGGCACACGCGCGGGTCGGTCCAGAGGGCGCTGGCGCCTCGGCTGCGACCTTCCTGTGCCTGAGCGCAGGCTGGTGAGCCCTCGTCATGCGACAGCGCGCCGAGCCATGACGCTCTTCAGCCACGCCCGACCCACGTGCAATGCAAGCGCGCACACATCAGCAGCACCTCAGCCCCCCATCGACGCCACCTGCAGCTCGGGCGAGGGCGCCGCCAGCAGGTAGGCCGCGTCACCCAGCTCCTCCGCCCCGCCGCACCCAGACGGAAGCGCAACCTGTAGCGTGTGCAGCGCGCGCGGCGGCGCGCTTTCGCGCCCCGAGGGCACGAGCAGCTGCTCGGCGGCTACCAGGGCACCCTCCAGGGGGATGACCCCCAGGGGCTTGCGGGTGCGCGTGCCCTGGAAGTAGAACAAGTTGCTGGCCTGGACAGGAGGAGTGTGGGAGTGACACACCTTTGTTCACACTCTGCCAGCAGCGAAAGAAAAAAGCCGTTGGGTAGAAATACCGGGGCTGCCCAAAGGGAAGAGGGGTTCCCTAGCTGTTCAGCCAGAGGGGAAAGTGGTGCCTCCAGGGTGGGAACAAACCACCCAAATCAGCCAGAGGGCACACGCACACCTCCCTGGCAAGAGAGTTAGACAGGCCTCTTTTCCAAGCAGGTGGGAGGGATGGCGTGACCGTAACAATTGAGTTCTATTCATAGCCACGGCCCGACATGAGTTGAAGCGCTGCTCCACACAGGGGACAGCGTGCACATCAGGTGATGGCCCCGCACCTTCAGCGCAAAGAACCGGCGCTTCCATGTTCGCGATGCAGACCCTGCAATGGGTGGACAAGGTGACAACGTAAGCGTTGCCACACCTATGACGCCCCACACTACCACTGTCTCCCAAAATCTCGCCGTTGCTTGCAACACAGGAGCTTGCGTCGCCCAGACCCTGGGCCCGCCCCTCACCAAAGTGGTGCAGGTGTCCGCACAGGTCTGCCGGTGCCCATAGCGCTTGCTGGTGCCGCTGAAACAGGATTTGTAGTGGCCGATTGCCCCGGCATCGGGAGGTGCGGGCTTGTCACTTTGCTGCCATCGCAGAAACAGTACGTGCGAACGGTGCCCGATCGGGGTTCCTGAACGGACAGGGGCGCACCTTGACCATATCATCATACTTCTAGAACATTACGTCCTGATGCGTCCTGGATGCGCCCTTCAGAGTTCGCGACCCATGGGCTCGCCTTCATGCAGGGCTTGCATCATCGATCAAATGCGATGTTAATGCAGGAATACAACGAAATTTGAACTCTTTGAACATTATGGTAGTGTTGTGCTTCCGCATGAGAGTTGCCATGGGTGATGCGCAGTCAAGGCAGTCAACCAAACACGACAGGCATACTTGCAACCCTGGGTACTTGCAAGACAGTAAGACATAGGGCAGCAAAAGCCACTCTGCGAACCTGCACATACCACCCAGATTGCAGATACTATGTTAACCCACACGTGGCATAGTTGCATGATCAGATGGCGGGCGGGTGCTGGCCTGCTACCGTAAACCACTCTTACATACATGTATATGATGCACTACAGCAGCACGCTCCTGTGTGTGTGTCGGCCATGCAGAAAAACAGGGCCACGCCCAATGGGATCTGAAAGTGAGGAAGAAACAATGCAAAGCATGGGTCAGCAAAATCAACCGAACAACCACGTCAAATACTGTACAGCCATCCCAATGAATGCATGGGGATGAACAAGTTATTCAACAATCAAGTTGACAAAGCAGAGTGAAGTGCATCCCAACAGAAAGGCCGTCCGACCCACGTTGGACGCGCCACTACCGCACTTTCCCAAGCCCCACTGACAGCGCCAGCGGCTCCCACAGCTGCAGCACAGGCGCCTCGGTTAGCTTGGACTTGCCGCCACCGCCGCCGTCCCTATCACCGCCGCCGTCGCCGTCGCTGCCGTCCTCTATTGGAACCTCCATTGGCGCCCGCCCCAGCGACGCCACCATCCAGGGGCGCTCAGGGTTCCAGGCCAGCCCCTCGCATAGACTGAGGCCTGCATGTAGAAACAGCAGGCCGGCAGGAACGCCGCTGCCACCCGCCACCCGTCTCAAGTGCTGCCTGACCCGTTCGCTGCACGTGTCGGCTGGGCCAACGCCCTTGTGATGGGGCGCCGCCTGCTTGCGAGCCCGCTGTCTACTGGCCGGCGCCCCCTCCGGACCCGTCTGGCCGCCGCCAGCCACTCCCTCGACCTCAACGGCACCGCCTGGGCCATTTGCCCCCGTCGCCGCTGCCTGCGCCACATCCCAGACCGACACAAACCCATCGTCCCTGCCACACGCCGCCACCACGCCCGCCCTACTCGCCGCCCACTCCACCTGCGCCACCGCGCCTGCATGCTGCCGGCGCGCCAGCAACGCGTGGCCGGGGCGCCGCGTGTCCACCACGTACAGGGCGCCCTCGCCGCCACCAGCGGCGATGAGGTGGCTGCCGGGGCGTGGTTCCCACTGCAGGCAATCCAGCGCCTCTCCGCGGCTGCACTGGAATAGCAGCGCGCTGCCGCCGCCGCCGCTGCCGCCGCCACCACTGCCACCCTGCCGCCAGTCGTGCAGCCGCACAGCGCCGTCGTCGCCCGCGGTTGCAAACGCGCCGCCGCCGTCAGGGCCGCAGGTCACGTCGTTGGCGCCGCTGGCTGCGGCATGGCCAGAGGGCAGTGTCGCCAGCGGCGCGAGCCGAGCCGCACCCTCTGCCGCTCGGCCGGTGTCCCACACGCACACGACGCCGCCTCGGACGGCTCCGCCCCCGCTGCAGCCGCTGGCGCCACTGCCGGCCGCTAGCAGTGTGCGTCCGCCAGGCCCCGGGTCCCAGCAGAGGCCAAAGCCGCCCCCTGACCGGCCCTCCAGCACGCAATCGGGGTTGAAGCCCTCAGCGCTGCCCTCCAAGCCGTCGTCGGAGACCTCCTGCTCCTCCCCCGCTCCCTCGTCCTCACCACTCGCACCGGCCTCCGCCTCTGCATCATGCATAGGCTCGTCGCCCGTGCTCGCCGCTGCGCCCATGCCGCGCCACTGCCGCCCCTGTTGCTGCTCCCGACTGCCGCCATTGGCGGTGCTGGCAGAGAGCCCCAAGCGCCGCCGCTGCGCAGCCCTGCTGAAGAGGAAGACGTCGCCGCAGTCGCTGGTGGTGGCGATGATGTCATCGCTGCCGGGCATAAGGGCGGCGCGGTTGACATCATGGGGGCCATGGGGGATGCGCTGGGTTGGATAAGGGGTCCCCGGGCGGGTGGGCGGGCGGGTGGATATCAGGAAGTCGAGGGTGAGAGCGTGGGTTTGGCTTAGAGCATGCACAATGACAGTTCCTGGAAGCGCTTTCGGTGCAGTGAGCAGGGAAGCGGGGGTCGAAAGCACAGCCACGAGACTTGAGGAATGCGCCCCCAACACCCAGATAACCAGCTGAAACACACCTCTAGCACTTCCAGGTCTGGCGGGATGCTCGGGTAGGGCCCCTGCTGCGAAGGCAGCGCATACAGGCTAGGCAACAGCGCCCCCAGCACCAGCAACCAGCAGCCAATTGGTGGTGCGCCGCCCTCCTCTTCCTGCTCCTCGTGCCGCGTGCCGACCAGCAGGCGCTGGCGCACCATCGGTGGAGAGCCTCCCGCATCCTCGACGCCAGGTAGCCACCGGACGGTCAGGGCGTCGCGCGGCAGCATGCGGTGCAGCATCGTCGCATACAGCGTCGAAACAGCGCTGCGCCGCCATACAGCATGCATGCCGGCCGCGGCCCTAAGATCGACATCCTCTGTGCTCATCGTGCAGTGGACATAGCACGTTGGCGCGAAGTGCGAGATCTTTGTGCCAGATCCTAGACGCTGTTGCCAACCAGGGTTTCGGAGGTTATATGCGGCTTTATCTTATCGTCGAGCATGGGTAATGTCATGGCAAGTCCCTGCAGTCCCAACCTGACGGGCCAGGTCACGACTCAAAACGTTTGGTGCAGGACACACGGCATGATTGCAATTGCATCCCCACAGCGGTACATGAACAATCACATGAAACTATTTGTATATGTATCTCGCACCACCGCAAGCAGGCTCACAGCATCATGACATTGTTCCGCCTGTCGGCAAGATTGGCCGTTGCGCTCCTGCTGGCGGCGCTCCTGATGGCAAGGGTCGCTGAGGCCCAGGAATGCGCCAGGGCTACTTCCAGTAGCACATGCCCGGCAGGTGAGGGGCGGAGCGGCACGAATACCGTACGATCCTCCGAGCCAGGCGCGGTCGGCCTCAACGGTCGAGCCCATCTCAAACTGCCGGCTCGGGCGTTGACAACCAGGACAGCTCCTGCAACCAAGCAGGCCGCGACATGTGCACCTAATGCTTGACATGCAACGGAGGTTACCAAATGGCTTCCAACATTTGCACGCCACGCCTGGGCCCTCAGCTGGTGGCGCGGCGGGCTGGCTGCGGGTGCATCGGCCTTTGGCTGGTAGTGTGAGAAGCCCGGCAGTAAGGCAAAAAAAAGGGTTGAGTGCTTGCAGCATTTGCTGCGGCCCCTTGCGCTCCTTGCTTATTCACCCCGTATTTCATTGCACCACCCCCGCAGTTGGCTGCCGCTGGGCCGCCGGGCGCTGCGTGCCCTTCAGCACCACGACCCATGCCGGCGCAGGGCGTGGCGGGGCATCGCCGCCCGCCGCGGTGTGCCGCGACCTCGACTCATCCGACGCCTACTTCTCCCGCGCCCTGGGCTGCGGCGGCAGGCGGCGGCGCCTTGCAGCGCGGCAGGGCACGCAGCTGCCGCGCCGCGCGCCGGCGCTCTGAGGGAGATTTCGATGATACCCCTCTTTGCCGCTCCGATGAGCGGGGATGCGCAGGGCTGCAGAGAGACGAGAGGGTGCCACAAGCGAGGCTGCAAAGGGTTGCCTGCACGGCGGTGTGCTGCAAATGCACACGCGGCACACGACACAACGCGCTGAAGCAGGGCGCGCAATAGTATATAAGCCACGCCAGCATGGGCAGCCGCGGCGCAGCGCGTCGGCCAAGCCCTCCGGGCCGACCCGTCTGCGTTGGCGCAAACCGCTGTGCTGTGGCAAAATGTTTGTGTACTCCTGGGCATAATCATATTGTATTGAGCTCTGCTTGTTTTTGTGCACAGCTGGCCACAGTCCAGGGGCAGACGAAGGTATGTATGCGGCTGGCAAATATTTCGGTTGAGCCCAAACCTGCCGTGCCTCAGCGGCTGGTTTGAACCCCTGACTCTATCACTATTTCTGACAGCTGTTGTGGAGAGGGCATTGCAACAAGATCTGGATTCAAAACTTTGGTTACTCAGCCAGCAATAGTCTGCGCCAGCGTTGGTCCGCGCCAGCATTGGCATGCGTGTGTCCCCGGCCTTGCCTTGACTCCTGGTCCTGGCCATTGGGCTGGCTAGTGACCGACCAGTGCTCGATGCGGCGACAGAGGTCCAGCTGACACCACTGGGCGCCAATCGGCCCGATTTGGTTCCAAAGTAAAGGATCCACGTGGCTTTATGGCCCAGGCCGCCGCCATGTCCCAAAGCTCCGACATGCAGTGCTGGCAGTGATTCCGCAGCTGCCAGTGACCGCGGCAGGGCCTCTTGCGCGCTTGCCGAGTACAACCCGACGCTCGACATCCAAAGTTGCGTTAGAACCAACTTGCACAACATGAAGCTCTGGTGAAGCTCTGGCGCCCTTGAGTTCCGAGCGCGGCACGCTGTTTTATCAGCCTCGCGTTGCCCGTCTGCGTGTGGAAAACAAAATTCAAGTGTGTTGTGAACAAAAAAGCGCATGCAGAGGGGAAAACCCCGCCTACAAGGCGGTGAGCGCCACCCCGCTTCATCCCGAGGCCTTCGCTCGACAGCCCGCAGGCCTGCATGGCGGGCATCGCGGTCAAATCAACAGGTGGGAAAAGCTGATATGAGTGATTTGATGGCCAATGTTGCTCAGGTGGTGCTCCTGCTGATGGCGCTTGCCTGTGCTGCTGCCTGCTGCAAGTATCCTACGCCAATGCCGCTTGCCGCCCGTGCCTAACAAGCGCTCCCCGCCCCTTGCACGCAGCCCACTTGCCTCGCAGCGTTTGGCTTTTCACAGTCTCACGCCAGCTCTAGTCCACTGTGGGCCGTCAACGCAGCCGCCACGCTCGTCTCAGCACCCCCCGAAGCCCCCGCCGGCGCCGCGGCCGGCGCCGGCGCCCAGGCTGGCTTCTACGCGCCCCGCGGCGGCGTCATCGGCGGCCCCGCCACCATGCGCGTCCGCGCGCCTCCCCAACCGCAGCACCTTGAGCAGTTCCAAGAGGCGGCGCGCCGCGCCGCGGCGGATGCAGCAGCGCCCGCGTGGCCCGACTGCGCTGTCAGCCCAGCGGCTGTGCAGGCGCTGCTCAGCGGCGGGCCCGGGGCGCTGGCGCGGTGCCGCGAACTGGGCCTCATCACGGCGCTGCTGGACCACTGGGCGGCGCTGGGGGAGGCGCCAGAGGAGGCGTGGTGGGCGGCGGTGGAGAGGTGCGCGGCCTCGACGGGGCCCGTGGCCGCGGTGGGGCTGCCAGGTAGAGCAGGGGAGCAAGCACAGTCCAGCCCGATTGCGGGGCCGCACTGCAGCCGCAGCCGCACCCGCTGGCGTCTGGCCACACCCGCATCTCTCCCGCGCGTACCCATCCCTCCCTTACCTGCCCCATGTGCCCGCTCTGCAGGGAGTCGCGTGCGCTCCTGCGGGGCGCGCCACCTCAGCAGGCCGCTGACCTGCTTTCTGCCGCCGCCCGCGCCGGCCGCCGCCCCGGCGCCGCGTGGCTGGCGGCGGCGCAGGACGAGCTCTGCGCCGCATGGGACCGCGGCGCGGGGCCCTCGCTCGACGCGTGGGCGGCGGCGCTGGGCGCGCTCGTGAGGATGGGCGCCGCGCTCGACCGCCGCTTCTGCCAGCGGCTGCTCGCCGCCACGGCCGACCAGCTGCGCTCCGCGCCGCCGGCCGCGGCCGCGCGCCTGCTGTGGGGCGTCGCCAAGGCGCGGCTCGCCCCGGGGCCCGCATGGCTCGCCGCGCTACGCGGCGCGCTGGAGCGCGCAGCGCCGGAGCTGGGGGCGCACCAGCTGGCGGGCTGCCTGCGGTCCCTGGCCATCTTGGGGGAGCGCGCCGGCCCGCAGGAGGTCCTGGGCGCTGCGGGGGGGCTGCTCGCGCAGGAGCTAGCGCTGCGGCCCGGGGGCGCGGGGCCGGGGGAGCTGGCGCAGGCGCTGTGGGCGCTGGCGAGGTGGGTTCAGGGGGGGGGGGCCGGGCTCGATGTTGGGCCGCTGCAGGGAAGCATTTTGCAGGGCCGCTGCGGCGTCGGTCCTGGCAGAAGGGGGGGGTGGAAGACAAACTGAAGCCAAGGTCAGCAGCGACCCGGCAATGAGGGGCGTTGGGCTGCGCCTTGCTGAACTCGCACTTCCACCACCCCCCCGAGCGCCCGTTGCGTGCGGGCGTTGGGCTGCTCTGCCCCCCTCAGCCCATGCAACCCCTTGCTCTACTCATCATCTCTCCCCCAAATCTCCTCCCCTCCCAGGCTGGGCCACCGCCCCGCGCCAGGGTCGCTGTGCCCCGTGGACGCGCTGCTGCCGGCGGTCCTGGAGCAGCTGCCACGCCTCTCACCCCCACAGCTCAGCGGGTGAGTCGTGAGCACGCGCGCAGGCGCGCGAGCGCACGCGAGCGTGTGTATGGGGGGGTGGTTGCTGCCACGAACATAGTGCGGGTTACGGCTGCGGCCGCCCCCGCCGCCCCCCACCCCCACCACTAGCCACCCTCTTGCTCATCCACGCCCTCCCTTGTGTACCGCTTGGCCTCAAGCCATTGGGTTCTTGATTTTTCTCGTCTGGTCCATCACCTGTCCCTGCTCACCCTACCTCGCCTTTTCAACCCCCCCACCCACAGCCTCCTGTGGGCGCTGGCGCGCCTTGAGGCCCGCCCCCCC